AGAAAAAAAAAAAAACAAGGGAAGTTTGACTTTAAAAGTTGACATACCTTAACTCTTCAACTCACAGGAGGGACACCTTCAGGGAAGTAGGAATCAATCCTCTGGAGGGAAGCACTTTGTACAACATTGACATTGTGAGGAATCCCGCACTCCCACCTAAGTCAGGGTCTCCATACAGCCCTGGCTCTCCTGGAACTCACCATGTAGACCAGGCTTGTTCCGCTCACAGAGATCCACCTGCCTCTGCCACCTAAGCACTGCTATTAAAGGTGTGGGCCACCACAGGCTGGAAGTTCTCTTCCTTTTTGACAGTCAAGAATCTCACACAAAGGTAATGAGCCTGGACTAGAGACAGTTTTCTGAGGCCTGAGAGGTGGAGGAAAGGGGAGGAGAATGCAAAGAGAACGCCCACTCTCCCCAAACGCCCTGGGTTTCTGAAGACTCAGCCAAGGACCCGCTCTGCAGCCCTAAGGCTCCCTGTCAGTGACAAGCACCCTGGCTCCTCAGCTGTGGATACAAGGACCTACACCAGTGAACCAAACCCTGCCAGCATGATCGCCGGGGCCTGCGGGAGCCTGAGGGCTGGGGCCTGATGGCATCCTGTCATGGACACCAGCCACAAAGGCAGAAGCCTCTAAAGCACTTGGTTTTGTACTTGCCAGAGTCTGGAAGTCATTGTGTAATTATTAGAACATCTCCTAGTGCTCTGGGCATGGTACTGGTGTGCAGGGCCCTGTACTTGGCTGAAGAGTCTATACGGGGGGGCCACAGACTTAACTTTACATTCAGTGGCCAAAATGTGCCACTAATGCCGACTGTGATCAACTTTCTTCCAGCCTGACACAATGGACTCCTCAAGTCCCCACTTGTCAATGAGGACACGGAGGCTTTGGAGCTGAAGGGACTGGTGTAAGCCTCCTCAGCGGTGGTAGTGTCAATGAAAATGGCTCCCATACGCTCACAGGGAGTGGCGGTGGTGGGCAGTGTGCCCTTGTTGGAGGAAGTGTGTCACTGGGGTTGGGCCCTGAGGTTTCAAATGTTGGAGGCAGCCCAGTGTCTCTTCCTGCTGCCTGCTGATCCAGATGTAGAACTCTCAGTTCCTTCTCCAGCACCATGTCTGACTGCATGTTACCATGCTTGGAGGGGAAGCCCAGCCAATCACCTTGCTTGAATGGCGGGATCCCCTGAGGTTATTATTTACTTAGAAATATTGTGGGTGTGCTCCCCGCCTTCCCTTCTGTTTCCTGCTCTTCGTTGGAACCTTGGTTTTGTAAGTTATTCCCTTCTTCCCCTTAATAAAGCTGATATTAAAGTTAGCCTGATTAATCCTATTTGCTGGTCAGTTACGCCGCATCACATGCTTCCCACCATGATGACAATGAACTAAACCTCTGGACTGTAAGCCAGACCAATTATATGTTTTCTTTCATAAAATTGCTGTGGTCATGGTGTCTCTTCACAGCAATAAAAACGCTAAGACACCAAGTCATCAGCAGCGGAGTTGAGCTGAACTCCAATTTCCCTACTCATTTGCTAAAGAAAAGGCTAGCATGCTGGGATGAAAGGGGGGAGACTATAGACCTGTGAGCACAGGGCTAGGAGCACACACATCTGGGGAAGGGGGTGCAGCCAGAAGCGGAGGGATTACTTCACAGTATCTGCCTTTACCAACACTGGAACATGCTTGAGACACACCCTACCTCCATCAGGGCTGCTGTGGCCTGAACACATCCCGTTTCTCTATCCACTGTCCCTATGGCATCCCCATGACCCCTGCTTTGAGCTCCCCTTCCCCCAGGGAGTTGTCAGGCTCCAAGTAGGGTTGCCGCTTCTCTGCTTCTCTCTGCCAAGCACCTGTCACAGGACAGTGTGGTTACTCAGTAACTCCTCTGTCAACTTCCTCCTCTGAGGATTCTGGGAGGGCACCACAGGAGCCCTGACCTGGCAACCCATACTCAGCTAGTTCTCAAACCTATCCCAGAATAATGTTGAAGAGAAGGAAATAGAACTGGGGGAGAGGGGCAAGGTGAACAGGGTGTTTGGAAATGCTTCAGAGGTTGTCCCTGACCCCACCTAGAATGAATGCTGACTTTGCCAGCCCTCAGCTAAGAAAAAAGTAGGCAAGGCCTTGCTTTTCGGAGGCCTCAAAGACACCAGACAATGAAAAGATGGTTTGCCTGCTCTGCCTCCTCCAAAATGGGGAAGAGCCGTTTTCTGTTAAGTCCTGAATCTGTGAGTTGGTATGCTGCATGAGAACAAAGCCATGTGAGGACATAGTCTCCCACTTCTCCACCCAACTGGCAAATGCACCTATTAAAAAGGGGCCACCGTGCTCCTCTAAGGACCTTAAAGGACATGGGGCAAGGAGGAGCTCGGGAAAGTCAGCCCATCGCCTGATATGTAGCCTCCTAAGTGGCGGCACTGCCTGCTCAGTCAGCACGTCATGAGCTCCAGTGTTCCCTGGGTGAAATTAAAGCTTTTGGCAGTCACTAGATTGTCACTAGGCTGTCAGATACAGAGGGGAAAACCAATAATGGCTTTCTCCTTATCAGATGGGCTCTTAGAAAGGCCAGAGTCTTCCTTGAGATACCTGCTACTTGTTGGCAAAAAAAAAATCGATCCTGCTCACCCCGATTAATTGATAGCCAGGTTTAAATAATGAAGCCATAAATTTAGTTAAAGCGTGTCTAGTCTAGCCTCAATCCAGCAAACTTGAGAACTCCAAGGTGTGCAGACAAAGTAGCTCTGGCTACTCTAAACTGAAACAACACACCGGGAAACAACACACCAATTTCCTAGTTTTGCTTGTTGTATGGTCTGTAAATTGTTATTGAGGCTGGCCTAAAATTCATGATACTCCAATACCACCAGTCTCCCGAGTGATGGGATCACAAGTATATGCCACCACTCCTCACTGACCCTGCTGCCCTCCGTGAAGAGAGGCTTAGCTGTGGGTTGGGAATGCAGTTCAGTTGGAACAATGCTTGTTTAACTTATATAAAATCCTGGGTCCAGTTGCCAGCCATGCATAAAACCGGGTGTGATAGTGTACAGCTGTCATCCCAGTACTTGTGAACCGGAGGCCAGAAGGATGGGAAGTACAAGGTCATCCTTCACAAGGCTCGCCCATGCCAAAGCTCTGGGTTTCATTTCAGTTTCCTGAGATGCTGTAGGACTAATAGCCTCTCTGATTAAAGTCAGGCTTGGTGAGAAACCTAGCTCTCTCCGTCTCCTCTTTGCCTGCCTGTGACCCTGGTAGGAGGTCACTGTGAATGTTAAAAGATATGGTAATAATTCTCAGAATTTTTTCTTCAAGATCTCTCCCTAGGAGCTGCTAAGTCCATGTTTTCATGTGGCTAGGCTCAGGCTAGCTAAGGCCGTCAGTGTTTCTCAGCCCTCCTAACGCTGCAACCCTTTAATCCAGTTCCTCAGGCTGCAGTGACCCCCAACCAGGAAATTATTTCCGTCACTACTTCATAACTGTAATTTTGCTACTGTTAGGAATCATAAACACCTGTGTTTTCCAATCAACCCCATGAAAGGGTCATTCAACCCCCCAAGGGGATCATGACCCACAGATTGAGAACCACCGAGCTAAGGTGAAGACCCTTGGGTATTATCAGTAATCATTAATACAAATTATTGAGAGCCAAGGCAAAAGACATATTATTGTCTCCTCCCTTCTATATAACTTATTTTCCTTGAATCTTCCATCAAACCACCACCATCCATAGACTGCTAACTCTGGGAATAGAAAGCAGTGATAGGCACGTGAAGACATCCCCCTCCCCCTACAGGCGTGCTAGCTTCACTGTGCTGCACTGAGTTACTGTGAAGGGTGAAGTTCAGTTTGTGATAACCGGTTCCGGGCTGATCCGGGATCCACCAGTGTTCTAGTGCCGGACTCGGCAACTTCATCAATTGTGTAGATGCATAAGCCCGAGCCCTTTGGAGACCGGAAGGCCATGAGTGAATTCCAGACATCCAACATGGAAGTATTTATACTGGTGGGGATTGCCTTGATCTGATTCAAAGTGTGCTCTGGTTCTTTCCTTTGGAATAAGAAAACACGTACCTTTTTTTTTTTTATTTTATTATACAGGAGCCCACAGTTGAGAGAGAGGCTTTGGATATTTTAAAGAGCTGGAGATCTCAAAGTGTTTGAATGTTTTAAAGATGGTTGGGCTTTTAAAGTTATACTGCTTTATTTTATGGTATTGAGATCTTGGTGACAAAAATGAGGGAGAATGTTGGCTTCATAGTGGTGTGTTTGGATAAAAAACAAGGGGTCAATTGTGCTGGTTAGACCATACATACATCATCTGCGGAGAGGAAACCGTGACTGAGAAAAAAGGCCTCCACAAGATTGACCAATGGGCAAGTCTGTGCCGCCTTTTCTTAATAATGATTGATGGTGGAAGGGAGCAACCCACTGTGGTTAGAGCCACCCTAGGGCAGGTGGTCCTGAGTCAAAAAGCAATTCAGGACAAGCAGAGCAAGCCACAGGGAGCAAGGTTCCTCCATGGTCTCTGCTTCAGTTCCCACCGCTAGATTCCCACGCTGTCCTCTATTCATGACGGGAAAAAGTCATGTAAACCATGTCCTTGCCACACTGTTTTTCGCCGTGGTGTTTTATCACAGTCATAGAGAGCAAACTAGGATGTGTGTGTGTGTGTGTGTGCACAAATACATATATGGATTAGAAATTATGAATCCGTGTCTTACTACTAGATCAGGCTGACCTCATACTGGCATTCATTCTGTGGTAGCCTCTTGTCGCCTGTCCATCCTCCACCCCCTGCTAGGCTGTGCCTTTTAAAGGGACGACAGTAAATATTTTAGGATTATGGCCCATGTGGTTTCTGTCCCAATTACTCAGCTTTGCACGAAAGTCTCCATAGACAGTTTGTAAGCATGGATGCATGGGTGTAACCGCATTCCAGGTACGTTCCACGTAGAAGAGTCAAATGCGAGACACATAATAACGAAGAATGACAAAAGACCGATATGAATTTAATGACAAATATCCCATATTCATTGCTGGACACCAGGATGCTGTCCAAGGAGCCACCATTAAATAAAACAACCTGCAAACAAGGTTCTCACATCCACAAGCACACTCACGCGGAATCGGGTACTCCTTGGATCATTAAATTACTTACTACTTTAACAACAGATATGACAGAGCACAGCAAGGAAAAGTGTGCACAGACTTCAGAACACAGCTCAGATTGTCTATGGACATAGTTTTTTTTTTAATTTTTACTTTTCACATATATACAGCCTCTAGACTGTCAAGCGACCACGTGGCTCAAAGGGCTAACTGCTTATCTTCTTCTGCCTCAGAACTACGTCATTTAAGCCCAGAAACTACGCTGGGTTTTGCTTAGTGACAGACAGCAAAGGAAGCCTGCTTTTGGCCAAACTCCCCAGGAAATAAATAGTACAAGGGCCTCCAATATCAATCATGAGTTGGAGGGAGGAATCTTTAACATTTCAAGCATGAACCACGGTCTCCAGGGGATCCTGAAGAAACGCTATTATTCTAAGATGGAAGACGAGAAAGAACCACCTGGGTGCATGGAATCTCACCTAATGCGGGCATGTTCCCTGAAGAAGTAAGAGAATTAAAGTCACATTTAAATCCACCACTGGCGCAGTGCATGGGTGGCTGAACGGCCTCTCCTGCTGAAGGGTTTGCTCAGCATAGGTATGAACACAGTAGCTGATTCTCTTGCCCGTGGTAACAGAAAGAACAGGAACAGGAGAAGCCCAAGGATTTCTACCGCCATGGCTTCACACCAGCTTGCATATCCACTCCTCACTGAACCCACTCTAAAGTTGCTGGTGTGTAACACATTTGATAATGGCTATATCTCTGTGTAATGGTGATAACAAAAGGCAAAAAAAAATAAAAAACCAAAGTGGCTAAAAATGTATATGAAGGATCAAAAGTTGGACAAGATTTCATTGGCACATGCTTGAGCAAATTTAAAACAGCCAGAAGAGGTAGATGTGTATTAAAAAATAAAACAAAACAAAAACAATAAGCTGGTCTCAGTGGCACTTGCCTGTAATCCCAGCACTTGGTAGGCAGAGGCAGGTAGATGTCTGTGAGTTTGAGGCAAGACTGGTCTACATAGTGAGTTTCAGGACAGCCAGAACTATGTAGAGAGACCCTGTCTCGAAAGAAAGAAGGAAGGAAGGAAGGAAGGAAGGAAGGAAGGAAGGAAGGAAGGAAGGAAGGAAGGAAAGAAAGAAGGAAGGAAGGAAGAAATTTAAGATTACTTACAAATTGCCTGTATTAAGTGGTCTCATTCACTTTGCATTCAGACTACAAGAGTCAGAATAAAGAATGGGCACAGACTGCACATGTAACTCTTCACTCAAAGAGGACCAGAGAGAGCTCTTGTTTTATATAAAAATAAAAATAAAAACTATCCCTAGTGTGAGTATCTCTGAACAATAAAAAGATTCAGTGGACATGATCAGCAGGCAATATACAAGCCCGGATGTTCTCCAGATTGTTCTTAGAATGATAGAAAACATGCTTCCCTACAGCCCCCTACAGTAAAGAAGATCATTACTAAAACACAAATGATCAAGTAGAAATCACTAGCATTCACAGAATCTTCACCAAAACTGTAAAAACAATCTTCTAGTTTTCCCCCTTCAACTGTGCCCAACAGTTGGAGGCTCCATGAACAGTCTAGGGTAATAAGTTTCAGTGACGGTAACTTCACGGCCTGCCACGACACTGACTTCTACAGGCTAACCTAGGGGAGGGGTTTTCAGTGTAACCAAAATCTATACAAGTCATCTGCCTACAGCTCCCTACTAGAAATAGAGCCTAGTGAGGACACTGGAATCGGGTGACAAAGGCCAGCTTTGTCAATAAGGACATCTTTGGTCCTTCTAGGCTTTTATGTCTCCCATCAAGCACGAGAATGCTCAGTGTTCTCGCTGTATTATATAAATCAGAGAACGTAACTCATCCTAGCAACCGAGCTGGGGAACACAAAGGGTCAGGCTCTACCACCCACGTCAGGAGGCTCACCACACTCTGACCCCAGATTTTCCCAAGCCAGAGTTTGTAATACTGATTGACCTCCCGAGCTTGTGAGAAACACGCGCAATCCTTAGAAAGCGTAAAACACTTTGTAAATACTAAAGTGCTGTTTTGGCAACTGTGTAACTAGAAAACATTCGTTTGTGCTATTTGGCCACGTTGCGTTCCCACCTCTCCCTGTCTCTCCCCTCCACATGTAAATCCGTGCCTCTCATATGTGGAGGGAAAAGGGGACGCCCCTGTCTGGACTAGATCCCTCATTAACTTGTGAGGGAAGTTGGGGTTCATGGGGTCACGCACATGCAAATGAAGGCATCCCAGCCTGTGAACTCAGCATTTTTGCAATTTCCACGTGAAGCCAGTAAAACTGAGCTGCCTGCCTTTTGTGAACAGGTTTCTCAGGCAGCTGTTGATGGTCTTCATGTGCCAAGCCGGACTAAGACGGGCCAAGTCCTGACTTACACGGGGCTCAGGGTCATCCATCCACCTAGGCAACCCTGAACCAACACGAAGAAGCAAGTGCAGGATTTCCTAACAAATCTGGGAATCAGTTGCTAAACCCAAGAAGTCTAAACCCAAGGTTGCTTCCTGAAACTGTGCAGTTTTTCTGCTCAATTTTCCCTGGATGTCTCAAAATAGCAGCTAACTGTGGCTCACAGGGAAGGAAGTGGATACTAAGCACCCTCTTCTGTAGCGATGAGAAGGATCTGACTAAAGCTGAGAGGAGGGGTGTCACAGGCTTATTCCTACCCGCGTATTTTTGTATCCCCATAACTCTAAACCAATCACCTCTCCCGGTTCCCACAAACACGGCAGTTCAACCCTCTCTACCCAGTCCCAAATCCCCTCCCTCGGGGATCCTCCAGGCGTCTATTCACCCAAGCTTTTCATTCCTTACAGTGAGTATTTAAGTAAACCATCAACTCAAGCACATCTCCTAAGAGTTACTTCGATGGAGGAGGTAGGCACCTCGAAATAATAACTCTTATTAACCATTCCCTGGGGGAGGGGAGCAAACATTAAAAGGCTCTCTCAGACACTCTTAGGCTGTCCCTCCCACTCCTTCCCCCACATCTGCAGGATCAGTAACCTAGCCATCTACTCCCAGTGTTGGGACTCTTTGGGAACCCCGCCCTAGCACAGGTGCAACTTCTGGTGCTGCGCAAGGTGCGTCTTGTAGCGGAAGCCCTTGCCGCAACCCGCGCACTTGTGAGGCTTGTTGCCGGTGTGGATGCGCCGGTGGCGGATGAGGTGGGAGCTCTGGATGAAGCTCTTGCCGCACTCGATGCACGTGTAGGGCTTCTCGCCCGTGTGCGTGCGCTGGTGCTGCGTGAGCGTGGAGAAGTCGCTGAAGCGCTTCTCGCACTGGCTGCAGCGGAAGGGCTTCTCGCCGGTGTGCACGCGCAGGTGGTTGACGAGGTGCGAGTTGCGGCCAAAGCCCTTGCCGCACTCGCGGCACACGTAGGGCCGCTCGCCCGAGTGCGTGCGCTTGTGCGTGAAGAGGTGCGAGCTCACGCTGAAGGTCTCGCCGCACTCGGAGCACATGTAGGGCTTCTCGCCCGTGTGCACGCGCTGGTGCTTCACCAGGTCCGAGCGCCAGCTGAAGCGCTTGCCGCACTCGCCGCAGCCGTGCGGCTTCTCGCCCGTGTGGATGCGCTGGTGGTTGGCGAGGTGCGAGCGGCGCACGAAGCCCTTGCCGCACTCCCCGCACGCGAAGGGCCGCAGCGCCGCCGCCGAGCCCGCCCCGCTGGCCGCCGCGTGTGCCCGCCGGTGGCTGAGCAAGTGCGAGCTCAGGCTGAAGGCTTCGCCGCACTCCGGGCACGGGTAGGGCTTCTCGCCCGTGTGCAGGCGCCGGTGCTTGAGCAGGTCGGCCCGCCAGCTGAAGCTCTTGCCGCAGTCGGCGCACAGGTTGGGCCGCTCGCCCGTGTGCAGCCGCAGGTGGTTGGTTAGGTAGGTGTTGCGGCTGAAGCCTTTGCCGCACTCGCCGCAGCGGAAGGGCTTCTCGCGAGGGGGCCGGGCCAGCGCGGACCCGGTCCCGAAGTCGCCGGCCACGCCCATGCCCATCATCCCCACCACCCCACCGCAATCGGCAGCCAAGCCGAAGGGCTCCAGGCTGGCCACCGCTGCTGCCTCTGCCAGACGGTGGATGCGCTGGTGCTGCAGGAAGGCGGCGCCGGGGCTGAAGCTCTCCCCGCAGTCTGGGCAGATGGTGGGCGCGTCCATGATGCTGGCCATCAGGCTGTCGAGTTCTCCGAGGTCCATGGCCATGGGGTGATGGAGCCGGTGGAAACGGCGTTGGGCAGGTTTGTCACCTCGGTGTCGACCCCCCAGGGAGAGGTGACGCCTCCAGGGAAGCACCGGAGGAGTCAACTGTTCATCTTCCTCCATCAGCCGGTTCTCCCCAGCGCTTTCCTCCTCTTCCTCTTCCTCCTCCTCCTCCTCTCCCCGGGGACTCCGGGATATACTGTCAGATTCTGACAGGCCTGGGAACAGTGTCATGTCAGGCACACCAGGCTGGTCGTCCTCTTCCTCACGGATGACAGCCCCTTCTTCCTCACTCAGCAGACCCTCTGCAACAGACAAGTTGGCAATTTGGGTCAATTAGACCTAGTGTACAAAGGTATTCTAGGAGAACTGCCCTTCAAAGATTGGGAGCCAAGGGAGTAATAATAATGCTCCTCCCCGGTACTCTCAAACACCGTCGCCCCAGTTCCCCAGTCTCCTTACACTTCAGTCTCTTTCCCAGCGGTCTCCTCAAGGTAAGAACTAAAGGACAGTGAACTCTGCAGGACCACCAGCCAGTCTTTGGGCAGTCCCCACCTACTATACACCCTAGGATCTGCTTAGCTGGGTCACTGAAGTCTGCAGATGGCCAGCTAAGATGGGGACTCAGGAGATAAAGTTCTGTCTCCAGAAAAGGAAGAAAAATAATTGTATTTGAGGGGCTGGAGAGATGGCTCAGAGGTTAAGAGCATTGCCTGCTCTTCCAAAGGTCCTGAGTTCAATTCCCAGCAACTACATGGTGGCTCACAACCATCTGTAATGAGG